CTTCTCTCTCTCTCTCTTTCACTCTCAATCTATATTTCATATTTTCTAAACGCATCTTTTTTAGTATTTTTTTCACGCGTATAGCGTCACCTGCTTACGATTCGCAAGCGAGGCGTATTAATCCACGGTTTAATATTCCTTTGAAATGGTCACACCATCCCAAATGAATACCAGTCCCAAAGCTGGTTTAACGTGTACGACCAAATATTTTTGCTACCAGCTAAAGCTGTTTTCCAAATGCGATAAGTCGCGTGTTATCTTTCGCAGTTAATAGAGAGGTAGAAAGATGCAAAGAACCAGGGAAATTGACTCTTTAATCTCTTTGATTAAAGTGTAAATGTGATTCAGATGTAAATTTATTAATGAACATATAATTAACATAAGTAATTTACGTTCATAGAAAAGAACATCGCATAATTAAAAGCATAGCAGAAAAATTAAAGAGACAAATAAATAAATCTTGAAAATCAATTAAAATGGAGTTAGCTAGCTTAATGGTATCGCTGTCATGTATATAATGATTAAAAAAAATTTGCTACAAACAAGCCAAATAAATACAAGTATAGATGCGAGAGAGGAATTTTAAATAACCAGTATAAAAAACGCAAAATGATGCGCGTGGCAAACAATGCGTCTCTCGCTGACCCGAATATTTTGCAAAAAGATATATATTGGCTATCGGCAGGACAATTAGCAAATATGAAAATGCATTGGGCTTTGGACGTCGCCGCCGATGCATAATGCTGCCGAATTTTTAAAGCTCCAGCAAGGCCAAAGTGCAAATGGGGAACAATGCGTTTTCGTTTCATTTTTGCATGCTACCTTAGCCAAGCACACGCTTCCAATTGCATAATAATGACATTTAAATAATGCCCTTCCGTCGAAATTATATTCGTGTATACAGAACGAAATCAGATTTGAGATAACAATAATTTCGACGGAAAATCTGCTGATGACGATCGAATAGAGAGAACGAGAGACGAAACTAAGCTATTTTGATTTTGATTGGCAAACAACAACGTGACTGCGGCTATATTCCATTAATGGAATGTTCGAGCGTAAATATTTAAAAATCAAAATAATTAACCGTTCCGAAACGGGCATAGTCAGTTTACATGCTCTGCTAATTAATTTCCGACAATACTATATGTAGCGAAGTTATCATAAAAGTACTTGATTACAATGTGTTCATATCTTACAATAAAATTTAATATTAATAAAGCCGGGATATTTAAATAAAATGTCTGTTCCTTTGATAATGTCTGAATAAATATAAAAAGTGCATATATTATATGGTTAAAACTTCATCAGACCAATTACTCACTCGACGTTTGCCGTATTAATTACATAAACGCGTGAAATGACATCGCTTGAATTCAAACTAATCATCGTGTAATTAAACCTCGAATTAAACTCTCGTACGATTTGAGTTTAATTGGGGGTATGTGCTTCGAATCAAGCCTTTGACTAATCAACGAACTACTCGACATAGTATATCGGACAATCATTATATGAAGTAACTCCATACAACTATGCGCCCTTAGGATATCGAGTCATCTAATAATTCTCATTTGATACAATTAAGCTATCCTGCTCCACTCATTATTAAAGTTTATATCATTGCTGACTTGCCAGCACAACCGAATAACTAAAATGATTTATCTTTTGGATCCTTACATATGATTACGTTAACCTTACCGATTGTACACCACATTGTCACCACATTTTTATAACCATTCAAAAGAGCATACAGACAAGAGAGTCACAGCAACATATGCCAAAAATGAATACCAACCGGTGACAGAGAGAGGGGGGAGAGGAGAGTCAACATGCTTGCATTTTCGCTTCCTTACGCAAACTTCGCAGCAGTGGCAGCTCGATAAGCTGTGTATACGCTTGGCGCTAATTTATGTTAAATAAATATTTGCCCCTCCCCCTCCTGTACCTACAGAAGAAGGAGGAAAGGGAGGTACCGCCGTGGTATATGGCAGCAGCAGTGATGATAGCGCGGCGCAAAAGCGCAAATCATTGTTTGCGCCGATAATTAAAAGCCCTAGCGTGTTTTATCGTACCAAACAAATATATAACCAAGACCAATTTCAAAAAAAGATTCTGTGAAGATGTACGCCAGCCAAGCGTGAAATTATGGTCTGGCCAGGAAATGGAAATCATCGCTTTCGTTTATTTTACTTGGCGGCGCGGATCGTCGTAACTCGAACACTGAATAGTGTCAATAAATTTTTGATGTCGCGTCCATTGCCTAGCATTTCTGATACATATATAAAGTTTTATTTTACTTGATTCATATGGCTAGAAGTTTCAATAAAGCGATAATGTTTAGCAATGACTGTAAAAGTATTGACATAATTAATTATATAATGTAAACATGAACTTTTTTCCTTAATAAGAGATCGGATTTTGATTTGTATAGAACAATTATACAGTCTTTTAATTGCCAATGAAAAGTATCAACTGTGCCAATTAAAACTTGATGGCTTCTGATTGACGATTGTATTCTCGTTTATTTTAAGGTGCATGTTATAACTGCAAAGAATTAAAATCTGTCGAATCTCGTTTCCATTCTAATCTTTCAAATTAAAGTGAAACTCGATCTACGGCATAATAACAGTGAAATAAAAACATCTATTCATCAAAGTCAATTAAAAAGTAAACAAAAAATAAAATTGGCTGGGCAATCGTCGGTAGGAAGAATATAAGCTCGTGCGAGAGAGAGAGGGTCGACCTTCGTATTTTCGGAGACGTGTAATTTCGTGGCGACCCAGACCGAGCTCGTACACGTGATTATTGTCAGACTAGAATTTCATCCGATGTATATCGCACTCGAATAACACATTTTTCGCTGCTCACAGGGTATATAGACAACAAACGTGTGGCGAGCAAGGATTGACCGCGTAAAAATAAACGGCAGCCCATCACGAACTTTGCAAGCGAAATAGAGGAAGGCGATGGATTTCCCATTGTTGACCGACCTTTTGCGATGCCAAACAAGATAGATACACAAAAAATATAATGCCTATCGTCGTAGTACGAAATAACGAATTAAAGATTTTTATCGTTTCGGCGTCGCTTTCTCTCTCTCTCTCTCTCTCTTTCTATCTCGTTCTCTGATCGTTATGTCGTCTCGACACGGATACCCTATGGAAATTCCGTTAAAACTATATGTGCTAAGATAGGTTATTTATATTCCGTTATCTATAAAAAAAAAAACATGAAAACAAGAATTAGGAAAATTTGCGATATTGAATTTTAAGATATTAAATAAATCTTGCATGATAAATTATATTTTACTTTTATCAATTAATCTTTTATTTCTCAATAACATATACACAGAGAGCTTTCAGTTTATCCAAGCATTAAAAAAATATTCACAATGGCTTAACTCATCCATACCTCTCGAAAACTGTAACTGTTATTCCGTTGAAATTTTATTAACATCGACATATGTGCAGCCATTTGAATCTATGATTTTACTGTAGAGAATAATATTATATTATGAATTTAAAACATACTTTTTGTTATTGCTATTTTAAGAACTAAGTATTTTATCTCTCTTAGCGGCCTTTTATTATCACATATTTTTGGCTTATGAACGTCATTATTAAAGTTATATAAAAAAATTTTATGTTATGACCTTTTATATTATTATTGTTATTATTACTTCGAGAAATACATATTCGTTTTGAACGCTGCAGAAATATACTAGACATAAATAAGTACGCGTTGTGGATAAATATGGAGTATATAATTTAGATAAAAATTCTACGTGGGAACAAAATAATTGTTCCAAGTATATTTATGGTTTCATATATCGAAAATATTATTCAAATTTCAGAAAAAATATCATTCTTCAAATTATTTTACTAATGCTAAATATCAATCATGCTCACCTTGCAATGCTTTAATTAAATATGCCATCACTAGTTTTAATAAAAATTTATCATAATTGACATTTGATTAGCTTATTTTTTCCATTGGTTCGCTCAATATAATATTGGCTAGTTAAATTTTGTACATTAATTCTGTAAAAATTCAGCCTTAGCATCATCTGATAAAGAATGAATCGTGCGGTAAATTGAGTCTCAGTCGGTATTATTACCACTAGATGGTAATCTTTATAGTTTATCTGCTAGTGGAAATGTAAAATTGATACCCATATAAAATTAAGTCTAAGCTTAAACAATAATAGTTAAATAATTTACGAAATTATATGGGACGTTTATATTTATAGTACAGTTAAATATTTAAAAGTAAAAATTGAGTAATTAAAGTTTATTAATTTGTTTAGTATTTTATTTCATCCCAGTTGGAAATAATTTTTGCATACATATTATATATATTATACATATTATATATATATTCTTCTTTAAAAGAACTGCTACCTAATCCTTTAGTACTATATTCTTTTATCGAAAGGAACAAGCATAGCATGCGTTTAGACTTTTTGCTTTGTTTTTGTTGTGGCTCATACCTGCAGTCTTGAGAAAGTCACCATTACTACAATTATATTCTATCTCAACTTCCTTATTTCTCATTGACATTCCTTAAAATTTTACTTTCAGACGTTCCCTCGCAACTAATAATCTTCAAATGAACAATATCATTCTTACTGACATTAGTGTAGTTATAAACTTTTAATTCGTCATTTTTTATGCATTCAATGGTCTTAATCAAAATTTAATTTTGTATCAGGAATTCGCGAATCTCAAGTTAAATTATTTCAGTACTTTTCCAAATAGATTTGTTAGAACAAAAGGCTTTAAAATTATAAACTGCTGGGATTAATATATTCTCTGAGTCTTCAAACATAGAATATATATAGGAACAGATCAAGTTTTGTTAAAAATTATGATAACTAATGACTTTTCTCTGATTAAATCATTTTTCAAAGTAAATTTACAGATTAAATATGTATTTTAATGATTTTTCTTAAAAAAATAATTAAAATCAATTATGATGAATATTACAGCATAACGTGATAATGATAATACGTACTTATATATAGTATTAACAAATTTTTAAGATTTAAGAACAAGATAAAAATTATTTTAGAGATTTTATACATTTTTAACTGCAGAAAAGTCATTATAATTCTTTTTTTTTATAACGTATAAGTTATGAATACTGCAAAAAAATATAAATGTTAGTTTATTTTAATCAATATCAACGTAGTAATGTAGTTGGATCGTCTCCTTGTCAGTTCGAAAAGTGATGCTTTACGCAAAATTTCAAGTCTTTTTCAAGTATATAAGATTTTTGAAACGATAAATTTGTAAAAACTTTCAAATTCATATAAAAACTAAATATTTAAGAAAATTGAATCCACTTATACTCGTTAAAATAATTTATTTACAATATAATATCACAAACACTGTAACTTGATTTTATTAGAGAATAGTATGTTACATCGTAACGCTTTATAATATATTAGTGTATGTATGACAATTCGCGATGTCTCAAACCTTCGGCATGCGAGCGCGTTTAAGATTTTTATTCATTCAAATCGCAGCCATTCCTGTCCAGTGGAAACAAAAGTAGCAAAAGAACTTATTTCGCAAACTTTTCGGATTTTATATTATAATTAAAGCCCTTCAGGCAAAATCTTTAACGTGTTCTGCGCGAAAACAAAATTTACTTGTACTTATAATCAAATTCATGCTTCAGACATCAAAATTTTGCTTAATGCATAAATGTATGTACGAACGTCATTTCTATTTATTCACTGAAAATCGACATTCTCAATATCACGTGGTCAAGTACACCTTTATCGCTAACACGTGGCCTAAACAGGTTCGGTGTGTATTGTGCAAATATTGTCACTCAGTAATTATGATTAGTGTTAATTTTAATTTCAATATTTTATATAATAATTAGTTTGTTTTTCATAAAATAAAATGGATTTTTTTGTACCTTGCAGGCTTTTTCCCATAACTACTCGTTTTATTATTGTGCGTCTCTTATTAATTACTTTCTAATCCTTCATTAATTTTACTTTATTTCTTCCTGCAGATCAAATAGAAAAATATTAAAAATAAAATTTTGGGTATCGATGCTACGTAGAACATGGTGGTCTGCTTCAATTCAAAACAATGTATAAAAATATACTAGTGTACAATTGAATGTTTGTGTGAAACCATAAAATTAAGTTTGACATTGTTCAATGCTTTGTATTCCACTGTTTTTATTTTTAATAATTTGATTTATACTAGCAAGATTTGCAGATCCATCATTGTAAGCCTAAAAAAATTAATATTTCTTTACACATCCATATTTTCAGTTAATGAAAATAAAAATCGTTTTATATCTCATACCTTTTCAGCAATACTCCGAAGGTGTTCTGCCATAGCAGGACCCGTCTGCTGCACCATTTTTTTAAAATAGCCATCATTTTTTTGTAATAGTAAATGAGGATGATCATATTCTGCTATTTGACCGTGATGCATAACCAAAACTTTATCACTGTCCATAATTGTGTTCAATCTGTGTGCAATTGTTAAGACAGTGCACTCTTTAAACTGATTAAAATGCAATTATTATACACATAAATGAGCAAATTAAAAAAAATTAATTAGACTTTCCAAAAGAATTAGATACCCACATTTGATCTTATTGCCCTCTGTATCAGAGCATCAGTGACAGGATCGACATTAGCTGTTGCTTCGTCTAATACAAGTACTTTGTTTTTCTTTACTATAGCTCGAGCGAGGCACAGCAATTGCCGTTGGCCAGCACTCAAGTTGCTACCACTTTGATCGATCAATTGATCCAACGACATAAAAGCTTTATTAAGCTCAACATCTTGCAAAGCCGCCCAGAGAGTTGTATCGTCGAAATCGTGAAAAGGATCGAGATTGTCTCTTAGAGAAGCAGAGAAGAGCATTGGCTCTTGAGGAATGATAGACAAATTGCTACGTAAATCATGCAAACCTATACTACTTGTATCCACTTCATCTACATATAATTTGCCTTCAAGTTTAGCAAGACGGAACAAAGCAGCTATTAAGGAAGATTTTCCAGCACCAGTTCTTCCTACTATACCAACCTGTACATAATGATAATGAATAAAGTGTTCAGAATAAAATAGGCTCAGAAAATGCACTAGTAAAAAAAGTTATCCTGATAACAAACGATCTAATATATATTTTCGAGTAATCCATGGGATATAATCGTTAAACAATTCATTCAACGGTAAATCAAAGTAAACTATGTTACTTACATCGAAATTTTAGTTTTCACTTTCATGTTATTTTTAAAAGTTATAGAAAAATATGACGGTTAAAACTGTTATTATTAATATTATTTTGTGTAAATAACGTGTTTTCATTTTTATTTCAATATTGTAAATAACTCGTTCATCCTTAAACTAAACGTCTAACGGTTATATGGACCGCTAACTCATAATCAGTGTATAAAAAATTGTGTAGCCTACTGGCTTTAGCTTGAGGACTATTGTTCATTTTACTTTTAGCTCTTTGTAATAAATTACTTTTACCTTCTCTGCAGGTTTCACATTGAAATTAAGATTCCTTAAAACGGGATCGACCGAATCGGTGTATCGAAGATATAAATGATCAAACTTGATTTCTCCGTTACTGGGCCAGCCTTTATTTGGTTTTTTATTAGGTTCGCTGTCAAATGGACCTTCTTGATCTAATTTAGTAAATTGGAACAAGCGTTCAACTGCCACCATCTGCGTTATCATCTCTCCAGCCATCTTCATACCATGTTGTAATACTCCAGTTAGAACCAAAGCTTGAGTAATTGCAAGACCAACGCTTTCGGCAGAAACTATAGACTGGCTCATTGTAGTGAAACTAAAAGTAACGGCTGCGACGAATGCAACAGATACTATGTCAATCCAAAGACCAAATGCGGTTGTGGTAGATAATACCAAGGAATAACTAGACGTATGAACATCCTGGAGATTATCAAATTCTTTAGAAACCATTGCTTCTGCTCTATTTGAACGAATGGTTAGCAAACCTCTCAAAGATGAGTTAGCGTGAGATAAAACTGGACTTTTGGCTGAAAATAAGTTCTTTTAAATCATTTTAATGAGACGGTAATATGGTTTTATGGATAAACATAATATCTACCATTGCCTTCTAATCTCTTAATACTACGAGCAGTGGCTAAATACATCACTGCGATATTATAGTGTAGAAACGCCATAATTATAACTGGAAGACCCATCCACCAATTAATCATAAGTACTTGTATCAATGTACCAACGAGTACTGAACCCACTTGCAATGACTCCACCATTGCAAGAGAAAGAATTTCATCTACAGCACCTAGATCCTTTGAAAAGCGATTGATAATACGTCCTGAAATGTAAGATTTGAATTAACAAAAATATATACGGCCATAATCATGTTTTTATCGTTTTCTATTTTACCCAAAGAGTTTGCATCGAAAAATCTCATAGGAGCATTCATTATGCAACTAACCATCCTATTATGAACATTATAGCTAATACGTTTACAAATCTTAAATAACAAAATATTTCTGTAAGTAGACATGATAACGCTTCCCAAAACTAAAACTCCGTACACATATATCATAAAATTTCTATCCAAGTCTTCAGGAATCTTTGCATTTAACGTTGTATTTGAAGTAATATTAGATTCTGAAATTGATTTTAATGTAGTATTATTTGTTTCGTTTGTGTTTTCATTTGTCAGATTTTTTGCGTAAACTTCTTCTAAACCAACCCTAAAAATAAAAAATATACACTTTTATTTAAAAAAAGCTACTTAAAATTACTTAATAGAATTGATGTTACCAGTGGGCTACCCATAAATCAGCACTATTGGCCAGAATTTGAGCAATGATAACGCTAAGAATTAGTACGAAAAGTAAAAGGTATGATCCGCTTGTTTGAAAATATTTCCAATAGAGAGAATTCTTTACTTTTCCATGTTCAATTAATTCCTCAGTCTGTTTTGGTTCATCTTCGTTTTCATTTACCATAAGTGGTGGAATATTCAAAGTACCGTCTTCTTCAATCATTGAAGTCGCATCTTCCGACAGTTGCCTTTCAAGCGACTCATTCTTTTCCGTATGGTGGATATGCTGCTTATATTTTTGAAAATCATTATAGTTTCCTTGAAATTCTACTTTTCCCTATGAAAATTTTAACAATCATTAAGAATTTCTATTAAAAAACTAACGATGATTTATATAGTTTAATTACATATAATATACCTCATCCAAATAAATAATATTTTCTGCATTCTTTAAAAATTGTACTTGATGAGTAACTAAAATACGAGTTTTATTTTTTAAGTACCCATTAATACAATCTTCAAAAAGATATTTCGCAACTCGTGTGTCAACAGCTGAAAGTGGATCATCTAAGAGGTAAATATCGGCATCTCTATACACAGCTCTAAAAAAAGTATATTTTTAATTGAAATAATAAATAGAGTACATATTTTAATTCAATTTTTCAGCAAACTTACCTTGCCAAATTTACCCTGGCTTGCTGTCCTCCACTTAATAATGAGCCTTTTTCTCCTACAAAAGTCTTATCTCCGTATTGCAGCTGTTCGAAGTCTTGAAGTAAACAACAAGCTCTTGTAACTTTTGCATACTTCACTTCATCGTATGGTTGACCGAAGAGAATATTATTCCTCACTGAACCATTGAAAAGCCAAGCTTCTTGACTTGCGTAAGACACAGTTCCTTTGGTGAAGGTTTGACCAGTGCTCGGTCGAAATTCTCCTAGGATTAATTTTAAAAAAGAACTCTAGAAAAGGAAGATTAAAGGATTGTTAATTAAAATACATAATGACAAGTTTGCGACTTATTTGCTTTAAGTTATTATTACCAATTTAACTGTTTCAAATACCAAAAATTAAAATAACATACTAGAATCACGTTACCTTTCCAGCTCCAACTGGTCCAACAACTGTACATAAAGTTTTACTTGAGATTTTGACGTTGATGTCGTAAAGAGTGTTGGCAATAGCATCATCAGTCCAAGAGGCAGTAACTTTCTTTATTTCTATACTACCATCTCTACTACCTTCTTGTTCCAACGTTTTTGATGATTTATTTTTATCTTCCGTTTCTTCCAGAAGTAGGAAATGCTGTATAGATATAACTATTAGAAGATTTAGAAATATGTATATATATTTTTGTCTTCATTAAGAAATTTTTCATAAATATATATAATTTATATCGTATAAAAATAAATATAATAAAACGAAATTATTATAAACAATGACGAAATTTCCAGTACTTTTTCTTCTTTTTTAGTATTTCCAAGAAAAATAATTACATTCATAATTAGTATTCGGATTTCTTACAAATAACATATTATTAAAGCTGAATGAAAATTTAAAATAAAAGTTTGAAACCTTAACCCAAAAGGTTTCCTAATGAATTCCTTTCATATTAAATATTAAATCAAAATTCTAAAAAAATGTCAAACCTTGAGTAAAAAATTTTATTTGAAACTGACACTTGAGTAAAAGTTTCAAGGATATTTTCAAATAAATATTGGTATATTTGCCTTAAAAATTTCATTTATAAATAACATAAGTACAGTTAATCTTCTCTAATTTATACACTTTGTTTCTAAAAATTATTTTTAAACGAATAAATATTAATTTAAAAATTTTCTTTTATGTAATATTTTCTTCTTTTACCTGCACACGATTAACTGAGACTCTAGCTTCAAGGTAAAAATGTAAACCTTTAGGAAATAAAGCAGCCATGATGACTTGCATTGTTCCATAATATTGGGCTACAGCAAAAACTTTCTCGGCAGTGATCACATTATTCAATAAAACATATACCAAAATGGTAATGAACAATGCTGTACGTTGAGCGTATGAAAATAAAGCCCACGTTGTTCCCTTCAAATAATTGGCCACTGCAATAACGTCTAGTTCGTGCCTTCAAATCGTTAGAAAATATTTCAAGCATGAGTGTTATTGTCATAGTAAAATAAAAATATCATATTTTATGAATAATATAAGTAAGGAATGTGTCGAACAAAATAAGATTGAAATTTGTATGAGAATTAAATTAGAAGAAAAAAATTTGTAATAACGTACTTTCTGGCAAGAACAACTAGTTCCTCAAATACAGGTTCCCAAGTATACATCTTAATGACGCATATGCCGCTAATGAGTTCGTTCATCAATAATACTCTGCGGTCAACTCTGACTGCAATTTTCCTTCTAAGTCCATGAATCAATTTACCAAAGTATACTGAAATGAAGCTGCAAATTAATCCGATTTCAAAAATTAACTAAATATGGAAATTGAGCCGACAGATTTTTACATTGAAAAGGGACAGTTTGCAATGCCATGAACAATACTCCGACAATTGCAGCCGTAGCCATATCTCTCCAGATGAGGTAGCCTACCAAAACACCTTGTATTGGCATCAACCAAATGTAATGAAGAAATACAAAATAATTTTCAAGCCTCACGACATCATTGGATAGAATGTTTATCGCCAATCCACCAGCAACTTTACTTGCCGAAGCACATGACAGCTTCAGTATCTACAAATTCAAACGATCTTTGATCTGACCGTAAACAGAAGAAATGATAAAGCTTCAATCTACCTCTAATAAGTATGACCGTGACGCATTTTTCGAAATATATAATAATATAATCTCGAGAAAGACACTTGGCTCTAATTAAGTGCGATAAAGCGGAGTTAAAGCGGAAAAAAAACAAAAAGTGATTATTTGGAAAAAACATAAATATATACCACATCATACTTTTCTGTAGATCAAAGACGAACACGCAATCCTGAGTCGCATACCAAGCTCGCGGGCATGAAAAGTTGTTTGACAGAGTACTATTGATTCTAGTACAGTTAATACGATTACAGTTGAAGCAAAAACCAATGCATCATCTAATGTTGTTATGGATCTTGGTGAAAAATGACGAATTAAAAGACCTAACATATACGGCTGTAAGAGTCTGAAAAAAAGTTAAATTAATCGTAAAGTTTTATACTCGCTATTTTATTTCGTTGGGCATACTGTTACAATACTTACTTAATGACGAGAGACATAAAAGCGATGTAAATTGCCAAGTGCATAAAAGACCAGCCAAAAGTTTTTTCAATAGCTTTCTGAAGCTTCGGTTTTCGTTTTTTCCTAGTAGCATTGTCGAGTTCTTTTTTCCAGCTTCTGAAATTATTTTTTATTAATATAGGTGAAATTGATAATATTTATTTTGAAAAAGTAGATACAAAAGAATAAATTGATAATAAACTAATTTTGTAAATAAATATTTAAGCGGACTACGTATTATTGTCATAACTAAGAACATTCATTTTTATCATATGATTTTTTAGCAACCAATGTCATTGACGCTAAAGAAAACTGAAAAAATAATAAAATGCAATCTTAATTTTTGCCAAGAAATAATGTAGGTAAGTATAAAGTGTATTACATTCATAGTAATTATTTCATTTTGTTCCTGATATAAATGAATAACTTTTTAATAATTACATATAAAAAATAGATTGATTAATCTTTATCCAATTGCATCGTTGCTTTAAAAATCATAGGCTTGTTGATACAATAATAATTTTTAATATATTTGAAATAAATATATTAAATTATCACAGTTGCAAACATCACAAAGTACACAATTTACAAGATCACTTTAATTTCTTAGGCTATTTTTCATAGCACCAGTTTTTGACTATCAATGTCATTCTGAAAAACTTACCTCAATCTGTAATGATATGTTTCCTTAATATCATAAACGATAAAACCATCCACGGAACATTGAACAAACGCGTGCAAATAACTTATCGAACACGTAATTTTATTTCTGCATTTTTATGTAATATTTCAATAGATAGTGCACAACCAGTTATTGTTGCAAGTATAAAAATTTTAAAGAGGTTGTTAACAGGGCAAAAAAAACCAATATTCATATTACCTTTCTAATTTATCACCGAGCAATTGGCTGGCATCATTTGGTAAAACATTGTGAAGATCCTTTGGTTGAAGGTCATTTTTCTTTCCATACCAAAACGTAGGAAATATCCAGCTGTGAATAATTGAAATACTATTATTTTTAGGAAAACATATCTCAAAGTCGAATTGCTCATGAATAAGAAAGATAAACATTGATCATATATTGTATGCATGAATTAAAATCTTTTTATTTATTCAATTTATCCTAGATACTTAAATTTCAGTTTTTCAACATTTTTATATACATTACAATATTTCTAATTACATTCCGTGGCTTTATATTATTTCATCAAGAATTTGTATGACAATCAAAGACTAAAAACTGTGAAGGTTTATATGATTTCATGGTGATTAAATTACTGAAAAAGGGGGTCAGAAAAAGAAATATCTAAATGACAATCATAGGGGCAGTGAGAATTTCCTACAATTATGAAAGCAGTTCTGACGTCAGAGTTCTTTTGATTTTTTAATTAGATCAATCAAAATATTCGGAATTATAAATTTCTCACTGTCAATCAATCGGATATCATTGCTGAATCTTCTTAAAAACATGTTACAAATCCGAAAGCATTTTTGGTTTATTCATCAATGAGGACAATTAATTAATGTGAAAAGCCATGTAATAATAAAAAAAGTTGTATAAGTTTGTAAATAACTACAAGTGAGATGAGATTTTTTACGGATTATTCCTTTCGCAAAGTTACCTCTGTACACAATTAATATCATACAGTCACTATTTAGCAATAATTTAATTATTTATCAAAGATAATCTTTTGTCAATGTATACACAATATTATTGCGCATACCAATAAGGCTTACTTACAAACTGTATCGTGAAAAATCTATTAGCCATACGATAAACAAGTGACTTATGACTTTCTAATCTACTTGACTTTAGAAAACCACGGATTATTCTTATTTTTGTAACAAATATCCGGAGATAATATTGTCAGATTCTGTACTTTTTTAGTTAAGTGCATTATCTAACGTTTTGAGTAGCTTCTTTCTTTAAAATAAACTACATTGTACCGCTATTTTGACATTTTCACACAACTTTCACTGATACATTAAGGCAATTAAAAAGAAATAATTCTCAGCAACTCGTGATTGCGCATAAAAAACAGTCTGCAATTACACATTTTTTTGTATCGAATTACGAACTTTTGGACTTTTCATTACATTTTTAGAATGTCGTAGACTGGTGAATTTTCATGTTTTAGTTGCAAGGTTATCTAAATGGCGGATACCGATAATAAAAATTCAACTGCATTACAAAGAAATAAATAAAATAAAATGACCAACATCATAATTAGGAGAGAAAAAATTATTCAACCGAGTACGAGAAATGAAAATATATTGAGTACACGATTATAAAACGTGAATATGTACGTCATAAATGTTGCTTCTTATCTTCGAGTATAACAATTTAAAATTTATCGATCAACGTTACCGGAAGTCAATGAACTTAACAAACTATATCATCCGTTCTAAATTACAATGAAGCAAGTTATATAAAAATGTCCATTTTCTGTCCAATAAACTTACCAAAACAGTAATTTGCTCAAACAATTGGCCTTTAACCGTGGATTTGGAGTATCGAATTTCTGCCCGGTATCCATTTTACAACTTAGTCAAAATACCAACGGTTCAGAAATTTTCACGATTGCAAAAATGTTCTAAAAGTACGATCACGACGCCATACTCTTACTATTTATCAATTTTCAAACACGAAAAAGACAAACGAAACTTAAAAATTCTTGGTCGATTAAGTAACTATACGATTCGTTTGAAGTATATTCTATGCACTCGCTTGATTATTTTATCGCGTGACTTACTTTCAATCGCGAACTTTTAGATACACGATCGGTTTATGATAATTGCATCTACTTAACATATCGCAAAAACAATGCTACACTAGCGCTCGAAAGAAGCAAAACAATCGTTCCGTATGTTAGCATGGAGAAAAAAATCACAGCAACGCGCGGTCGTGGTGAGACGCGAAGTAACTCGCGACTGGCTCACCACTGCCAAGCCAAAGATATCGTCGCTAGTGGCAAGGCTATGCTGCATGGCGTTAAACGCAACGTCAGCCGGGAAAATAACGTACCACGAGCGAAAGAGAGAGAAGCCCACGTGCGCGTTCTCTTTTATTGGAGTGCGTTCGCAGTTAAATATAAAGCTGCAGAAGTTTTAAGTGTTGCGTTTAACTATCCCACACAATGCACCGCCTTATGCGAATCATTTACGTGATGCAGGCGTCGCGCAGCTGTTTCACTAAGCTATCCACTGTCCTAATTGTTTGATGCCACGGCTGGATATTTATATTGTACTAAACGGACGATAGGAATCTGTTTTGATATGCATATCTTATTTCCATATTACGTAATCGTTATGTTTATTGTATCGAGATTAATTTCGGCTCCAGCTACGCCTTTTTTTGCCGTTCGATGCAGTAGTTTGACCATGAGTTATAAGTTATACACAATAATATGAAAGAAAGTTTTTGCGAGTTCGTCGCACAATCGTCTAATATACTTTTGAAAAGGACACACGTGCATCTTGTACCAACGTGTAAACACGTCTGTGTTTTGTAAATATTCAAGAACGCAATGTTAGCATCGAAAGAATTCAAAGCTGTAGAGACAGAAGTTCATTACCGATATACCTATTATAAGCGTTACGATTATATTTATGGTATCTGATTCAAACGCTGTCATCTGCAAAAATATTTCAAAGTATAGAAACAACATGAAAGTACATCGAACTATTTAAAAAGAAAATATCGGCGGTCTGAAAGATAATGTTTGTCTGTGCTAAATTGATCGTTTTAGTCATTTATTCTTACGTCTCATTTTACTACTAAAAACATATTTCATGTTTTGAAAAATCTTTAAATTCAATTTTATAACTTCCAATAATATTTTATAAAGATATAGTAAAAATATAAACTGATTTACTGATGATTGAAAAAATATTTGGAAAAAGAATATAGATAAATATTAAAGTAATGAAAATTGATTTAAAAAATATAATAAATTGAATTAATATTGAACATGAAAAAGTTGATAGTAAATTTCAATTAGTTAAGTAAACGATTTAATAAACGAAAGAATGAGATTTCAACAATAACTTTAACATTTTCAACAAAAAATCTACAAAATAATTAGAATTTTATAAGTCTATAATGAATTCTCCAGAAATAATAGAACATTTCTCCTCGAATGATATTATTTTAAAAATAAATAAAACCTGGAAAACAGTTCCTTCTCTAAAACTGATGGAAAATAAATCACAATAATCAATGCATATTATCTAAAATAAAATTGTGAATTTCAACGTTCATTCAATGTGATAAAACTGCATGCAAAACTGATCCATCTCAAGTCATGAATACGTGAACCGTTGAGTGCTGATTTAAAAATGGCAGTACTATAAAATGTGCGATACTTGTAGCTTGAGTATTTCATCGTTAAACACATATAATGATGTACTAACAATAAGTATGATAGTAATATGAATGAATAGCATATTAAGACACAAGTGATTTGAGTAGCCCATTATTGATGTTAGCACCTGAGCACAAGTAAGGGTATGTTACTTGCTGATTTAAATAACGCAGTGTTAAACGAATTACATGTTTCCGTGCAATAATGGCTTACGCATAATGTTCTGTGGATAATAAATGTCACATTAGTATCTATCCACAACTCACATTTTAAATAAAATTTCAACTATTAAAAAATGAACAAGTTTTGTATATAATAAAATATTAAAAATAATCAAAATGTTAGTTTTAAATTGAAAGCTCTATCGCGCATGTGCTGTATTCTGCCCTTGAGAATCCAGTACCAGTATCTACCGGCCATCTAGTAAAACTATAAAACTGCCCTTGAGAAATTGTAATAACGCCGTCGCCATATGCAATTTGTACATTGTGAGCGACCCTATTGTAACGCAAGGTTATATTATCTTCAGTGGGTATTTTAAAGTTAAAGTTCCGCAACAAATAAACGCAAGTGGCGCATTCGCATAAAAGATGATTAAACTTTTTAATTAATATTAATACTGATTATTGTCAATCTAATTATATATTTTATTAACTGAGAAGAAAAGACTAATTAATCATGGTACTCACTTGCTCGGCTGCTTTTTGTAAATCAACTCAAAATACATTAATTAATGGAGAGAAGGTTCACTTTTTCTCTTTTCCAACTGATGAAAAGTACGTATATAATACTATTTGTTAATAACATTCCATTTTTAAACCAATTGACCAATTATTTCGAGTAATACTATTGAAATAATACCTAATTTTACTGCTTGAAAACTTCTAACCTCTCCATAAAAATACTTGTTTATGTGATTTATTGACTCCTGCATGCTTTTCTAATTTTTGGTTGATGTACATCTTGAAAGTTTGAGTGGAATAAACTCTTCATGTTTTTCAAGTATACATCCAAATAATTGATCTAATATTTTGCACAACAGTTATTTTATATAATTTTAATTTCAGGCTAAGAGAACAATGGAATAAAGTATGTATAACTACAGCTAAGTCTGTAAAATATTCTGGAACACGAGTAATATGTCACCTTCACTTCAATAAATCTTGCTTTGAAACTATCAGCAAGTTAAAGCCTGATGCGATTCCTACAGTTCATTGTAGAAAAAAGAAAGCAGAAGCTTCTCTTGAGTCAAATAATATTCCAATGAAGCGTTCAGTGATTAATCTACCTGAAGTTAATAATGTAAGTTTTTAATCATATTGTAGTAAAGGAATTTTATAGAGCATATTTAATTGTAATATGTATTTGTAAATTTTAAGAAGCTTATTTATTTTGATTCAATACAATATATGTTCTATTAATTTTTATCAAACATTGAAAAGTTTCAGCTAAAGTTTTACTTGTAATTTTGTAACTTTCTAGGAAATAAAAATGAATAGTGAAGATAACAGTATTCAAAGTGATAGTTCAATTCAAACCAAGCTCCAACCATACCGCTTAATTGTTGAAATTGAGAAATTCTTTCAACAGCCTTGTCCAAAGTCTAAAAAAAATAATCGAAATAAAATAAATACCACAGTTCAAAATATTCTGATGAATCACTTATCCAACAAAGAACATATTGTATTAAAAGATGAAAACCAAAATCATTTATGTTTAGTTTGCAAAGAAACCTTTGAAACAGCATCAGAGTTATATACTCATTTGAAAGAACATTTTACTTGTGATATATGTGGAATAGAATTCTTATCCCAAATGTCATACAAAAGTCATTATGAAATGCATCAAAGTAAAAATGAAAGATATCCGTACAAATGTCATGTCTGCAATGCTCTATTTGAAAAGAAAGAGTATATCAAAACACACAATCATATTAAAAATATGCAAAAATTTGACATTGTGGGTGAAAATAGGATTCAATACTGTAAATCGTGCCATATGACATTTAGAGATGAACCAACTTTCAGGTAATGATTATTATTATTATTTTGTATGTAAAAATATTGATCATTTTAATAAAATTATTTAATAACATTTTTTATTTGTAGAAAACATTTGAACTCGCATGTTGAAGAAGCTACTCTGAACAATCTCAATGAACCTTCACGACTCTAATAACTATCACTAAAAATTATAAAGCTATTTGAAAATATGCAAAAAAGAATTTTCATGTTATTCCTAATCGATTTCACTACATAGCAAGATTAATTTGAAAGATAAATTTTAAAAATATCAAATGTCAATGTAATTATTAATTTATTTTTTATTTAAACTACATATATTTCACAGTTTTGCAACAAATGATCTCATTACTACAACCGATGATTGTATTATAATATCCGTGGTAATATTAATTGTAGAAATTATATTGATAGTGAATGATATAAAACGTAAATCTGATATTTTTCTAATATTTTTGACAATACAGGTAATTTTTAATTTTTATTAATAAAATAGGGATTCGTGAAAAATTATTTTAAGCATATTGAGAGTTTGTAAATTATGCTGAATTTAACTTCAGTGTATATCCGTTAAATGTAACAAATTATAATTTTATAAATAAGATAACTTTTAAATCTAGTTCAAGTGTCTTCGCTTAAAAAATTATTTATTACAACTATGAATGAATCAATCATTGCGAAGTGATACTTCCAATACTTTCAGAGTAATTATTTAATTAATACGATTTTCAAACTACATAATGCTAAGAAATGAATTAACGTTAATTTTAGAAGTCAATAATTTCATATATTAGTTACTAATGCTTTTTATTAAATTAATAAAAATTAATAAAAATTAATATTTTTAATAAATGCTTTTTATTATCGGTTGATATGTAAATCGATGAAACAAAGTATGATTAAAAAAATAATCATATCACAATACAAAATTGATTCGGTTTTTAATAATAGTTCTATAGTTCGTGGTAGCGTTTTACTTAAAAAAAATTGTTTATCTTACTTTGCACAAATAATTGTATTAAATTAAAATTAAAAAAAAATAAAGATAAAATTAATTTAAATGTATTAAACATTTTAATATTTGTACTGATCTGATGTTCATGATTTTTATTATTCAACATTTCAGTAAGAATACTAGCTTTATTGTCATTCATGCCTTCAAAAATTTATGTGTCAATGATTTACGCTTATTTTTGCACGAATATAAAATTAAATTGTACGTGCTTGAAAAGCTACTATGGATATGGTTATAGTACTATGGTTAGTACTATGGTTAGTACTATTCCATTATATGACAATATAATTTAAGAAAAATATATTCAATTAATATATAATCAGATATTGATTAATACAGATCAAGTAACACGAATTCACAATTCAGTTTTCCAACTATTTACTAATTTTTAATTTTTTAACATTGTTTATGGTCTCAAACATTTTTTTAGGATATTTCTATATTAATGGATATATTATTTTAAAAAAATATTGCAAATCAGTTTTGACTGATTTGGCGCCGTCGTTTTCTCGAAATAATTTTCTAAATTTTCACTTTCAACAATCAACATTTTCTAAACCCATACAATTTTGAAGTTTTATTTACATTTATAAGTTTAAAAAAACTTTTTAAGTAAACAACTTTACCGAATGAGCTGCAATTGTTTTACAGTATTTTATATGAAATAATACATCAAGTTATAATGCTCTTGTTGATGACGTTTATTCGAAATTAAACTTTATAACATAGATATTCTATAAGTTTACATGTCCAGGGAATACACGTGATTGAAGCGTAGAGCATGAGCCTGCATACTGTTTGTATGCTTTGTCATTAATTTACGCAGCGTAGATAAGGTATACAGAAAATCTATGTATATTTGCGGTACATCAACTTATAAACTAAACTTGTTTTGTTTGGCCATATTATCTGCATATTTGAAACGAATTCTATAACACAACAAGCTTGTGTTTTTTCAATATCCTATAAAATGACAAAATTTAAAATTTACATGCAATATGAAAATTCAATGAAACATTGCTATATCACGGCACTTTGGTACTTTTCTCATGGTATCTATTATATACGCATAATGAATAAAACAGAATGAAACCAGCGTCACATACAAGGTCATGAAAAAAGAAAAGATCCCAATATTATAAAAAGCTCCAACCAACACGGCCGGCGTATGAAAAGCCTAACCACAAAGCACAGCAGCGCATCCATGTTACAATCAAGAATTACCGGATAGATGAGAAAGGGCGCTGCAGCGCATCTTTCCTGCAACAGCGGATAAAAGACGAAGAAGACTCGACGCGTGTCTTTTTTTAGGGGGTGGAGGCGAATCACTCGCGCGCGCGTGCGCTGTCATATGACGCTTATTGTTAGTCTCTCCTTTTTTTATTGTTCACTGGACTCATGCATCGCACACGCGAGTGCATGAGGGCTTATGTATAAGTCGAGGTGGGCGAGGATATAAAAAGTGATAAAGTATACATGGAGGAGGGATACAGAACAGGTGATGAAGGTATAGGTCGGGGACGGCAAGAGCAGATGGATAATTGAAGGAGATATTCGATTGATTGTGGCCTTCAGAGAATGGATAAAGCTCAACATTTTTCTGAAAAATAACGAATTCCTTTTTTTACGGAAATCAATTTTACGAATTTTACAAATCTCTTAAATATGTTCGCATTCGTAAAAACATTTTTTAGATATAGAGTATTTTTCTTATTTAAAAAAACATTCTCAACTGATTTAACAAATGAATTTCTTCTCTCATGAAAAATTTAAATAAAAAAAAATTTTTTTTTTTATTTAAAAAGATTCAAATTCGTTTGTAGTGATAAAAGTGGTAAAACGGAATTTTAGAAGAACATGATTGTGCCTATTGTGTTTTTGGGATATCTAGATAAAAATCCAGAAGTCGGTCAGTGACAAACATATCGCTCAATATCCCAAGTATTACAAGCACTTAGAGAAAACAAATAATCTGTAAGATATGAAAGAACCTCCGCGACACCGCACTCGACAAGATATAGATTCGATCAGTCGGGTTGAAAGAGAAAAAGGCAACTTTTTGACTTTTGGAGTGACGTTCACTGGCACGGGCCATCTGCGTTTTGGGCGGCTCTCATCTCTTCGAGGATGCGCACTCGCGTGGAAAACGCTATGTGTGCTTTGATTAATGGCGAGGTACCAGCGACGGCGTCCTCGTCAATGAAACCGCGCGAGTATTGTTGGCCCTTTTTCCCGGATTTCGTGCACACATGAGTTCTCTCTCTTTCTCATGTTGCTAGGGAGATTCTTAAATTTTTATAGACGAGGAGGGGGAATTTAATAATTTTTTTTCCATAGAAGAGGAAAAAAGAGAAGTATTGCGGTTTTTGTATATTAATCAAGAGAAACTTTTTGTGGTGAAGGAGCAATTTTCTTTCTTTTCTCGCTCGATGTAAAGGAAATGCGATGGCTAATGATGTTAATCGATCTTTAGAAAACAACAGTTGTGGCTTATTATGGCTGTATGGCACGTACAAGTTAATCAGCTTAGCACTGTTTTTCTATTAAGGAATACAATGACGTTGATTTTTAAGTTCTTTTAAAAAAGAATTTAAAAATAAAGACATTATTACGGATAGTTTTTTTTTTATAATCAAATGTATAATATTGTAGCAACAAAAGATAACTTCACAATTGATCGCTATCAGAAATATATAATGAAAAAAAACTTAGATGTAAAATGTATTTTTAATCAATAATTATTTAAGTTTATTGCAAGTTGATAATATTTACGAGTGGAAAATCATCTAAATTTATAAAATAAAAAAATTTGAATTTTCCGTAGCTTAAACTGTAAAAGGATATTGTTTTTCATAAAAATTCTGAAAACTAATAACTCATAAAATATACCTACGCCCTTACAATTATTACAAATGAGTCAAATAGTTAAAGCCTTTTACGACAGCAGAAGCCAGTAAATCATTCGGTCTCAATCGGTGAAAGGTAACTTTACAAAACCTATTATAGCCGTTGAAGTCATCGGAGGAAAAGCTCAACAGCTTATCATTAAGCGCGAAATCGGCGATTCTATGCAAATTTTACCGACAAAGCCGTTTGGACGCGCCTTCGAAAAGAGAAACCATGGCCAGCAGGGGTACGAAATAAAAAGGGTTTGGACCATGACTCGCGCAATTTTTCGTTGTGACGAGCTCCCGCAGATGCAGATGAGTATTGAGAGATACTTTTCTGAGAATCAAAAAATGTTTCTCCTTGCTAAAAGCCACAGGCAGCTACATATTCAAAGGATGTTGATGGAAATATTTCTTTGGTATTTGAATGTGGCTTTGTTTATGCGATGATGCGTGCATTCTCGTTCAATTATTCTGTCTCTGCAGCTGTACTTTGCAGATATGAATTTCACATTTTTGCCATTTAGATAACGAGTTTCTTGCACAGATTTCAATATATTTTTCCCTTGAAAAATATTTCAAAATTCACTAGACCACATCACATGCGAACATCTCAAAGGTTGAGAACAGCGAAAGAAAAAAAATTGTGATTTGTCCCCAAAAATCCATAGGACGTGACATACATTTTTTCTGTTAGCCCGTGAAAAAAGGTGTAACTCTTTAACAATGAAAAATCATGTCTTACCATAAAGCAGTCTGAAGAATAGAAGGAGAGTAGAAGCCCGAATTAAGGCGTAACAACGAAGAAGAAGCTATAGCAGTATTTTTCTCTGACGTAAAAGAAATGAAGAAGTTAGTTTCGGGATATTTAGACATGGCGCATTACGACCACCGACGGCGAAAGTATATACAGACTCACGCGTGCGGTTAATCGGCATTTCACATAGAATCTCTTGGACGAAGTCGATCTGCTTAGCCTCTTCTTTTGTAGTCGAGAGTATTACATGCAAGCATAAGAGCATTTCTTTCTCAAAGATTCTTCAGATTCATAAGTCGAACGCCGAAACCAATTCGTTATTGTGCATCGCACCCCATTAGCAGATTGTAATACTCTAATGTCGGAGGGAGTCCTTTAATTGAATTTGTATCGAGCTTTTGTGAGACTACTGTATATTTCTGTTTTATAGAGTGCTGGGTGGTCTTTTTTTTATTAAGCGTTGTAAGGGTAAAAAAAATTGATTTCTTCATTTGAGTTTCCATTGTATATCTTTCCTTTTCTTTTGGTTTAAATGGGATAATAAAACTATATTAGTTTGCTAAGATATATATTCCGTAATGAAACACAAATAAGCATGACATATTTTGTTTCAATTTAAAAGTTATTAAATTTAAAACATTGTACAAAATTGCTGACATTTACTGAATTCTTTAAAAAAAAATCATTCAAGTTTCGAGATTATTTATTAAATAAAAGATCTGATTACCTTGCATTAACTTGCTAAACTCAAACGAATTTGAATTAAAAAAACCATAAGTGAAAAACGTTGCCTACTTTTTCATAACGAAAGAAAACTCTTTTTCTATGTAACTACCTTTCAAATGTAAATATAGGCAATGTACAGTTTAAATAAAGTAGTCGTATCAGTTTCAGTTTGACGGTGAAAAAGGAGTCATTGTCAGGCTGCAAGCGTGGCAGAAAAAAGAAAATTCCTCGTGACATATCTCCTCCCTCTCTCTGCCGCGGCGTGTAAATTTGACGTTAACCAAATAAACACATCTCTCGGTCTCGGCGCGTCGTTTGAAGTGGCTGTACTATGGTCTCAGCCCATTGTCTAGTAGTAGCCATCGGTACCTTTTGTCGAGTTATACACACATGCATAGGAGAGAGAG